GCTCTCGCCAAGCGAGGAAGCGAGAACCCTTTAAAAGGAAGGATTAAGGCGCTCGCTGCCTAATTTATAGTGCGTCCCTGTTTGTCTCTTGATTGGTTGGTACTAGGAAGGCGATTGCCATTGGAAAGCTTCTGGATTTGAAAACGCGCGCTTTGGTTGGTACCAGAAATGCCCCGCCTCCCACTCCAGTCTGTTTGTGTTGTTTTTGCGACTTTTCCCAGCATCTTCGCCTCTGGCAACTGGGGGTGTCAAGATTTCGTGGTTGCCGCTCTCTGACACTTAAGTGGCTGAAGTTTATTTTTGCTAAATGCGATTGCTCTGATTAAATCTATGGCAGGGGAGGGTATATATGCGTGTGTGGTGTGTTTGAGAGAGACTTTGGAACTCTTCATATTCATTTAAAAATATGAAAAAATAGGAAGGCGTATAACTCAAAGTTTAAAGCCTCTTACTTAAATATCAACACTGTACATCTCTCATAGCTTTCACAGAATTATTTGTTGATGGTTTTCACTAGATATATTTCAGGAAAGGTAGTGGTATGTGTAGCCCAAATTAAAGTATTTCAGGTTGATGTTCTTTGTTCTGAAAGAGAGAGGGATCAAATATACCTGAGTTATCCTAGTTACCTACTTGGGAGAAAGTGGGATTTTTGAGTAGATATGCCTTGGATTCTCTATCAAGATCGCAACCCTATGTACAAGTACTTGAGTGTATACTCCATTGACTCTTGAATTTATTTCAACCCTGGCATGCATAGCATTTGTATACCATATACCCATTGTTTCCAATGGAACATGAAAGCACTTAACATTTTGTTCAGCCTGTGTAAATTTGCTAGGAATCTCATGACTTAGGCTTTCACTCAAGTAACTAATTAGTAGGATGCAGCTTTAAAGGCCATTTTGTACTCACAGGTAACAAGGGAAATATGGTGATGCTCAGCAATGAGAATATTCAAATTAAGGGTTTGATGCCAAACTAATTTCAAAATAAATTCCTTTGATAGCAAAATGGTTTTTCAGTCAGAATGCACTTATTTAGACTGAAGCATAAATCAGAAATTTGAATAAAGTTCTCTAAGGCTTTTCTTTAAAAAAGAGCGAAATTGTATCTAAATTGTAATCCCCTCCATATTTTTCCAGATGTAAATCCCACTGAACTCAGAAGAATTTAGGTCTCTTCTGAGTGGACATGTACCTGATCCTGCTGTTTCCTATGCTTGGATGAAATCTTAACAGGAAAACCCTTTTATATTTGATATTATTGAATCCCCAGCCAAGAATATGTAGCCTTAGTCCTCCTAAACTGCATTGTAAAAGGTCCCACAAAAATGGTTAATCTCATGTGTTGCCTTTTTGCATTAAATACAGGATTAAGATTGTAAATGTGAGAAGAGGGTGTTACACCATACATATATGCACATGAAATTCCAATCTTGTCCATATTGATACATTATCTGATAGTTTTTCTTTGGAGATAGTGACTTGCTTAGGGCTTGCTTGATTATCAATGGTGAATGTACTTTGTGGAAGTCTGTGTTACCTCAGTTTACTTGAAATCAATTTACAGTGAGGTTATTATATTAAAACCCTCATATTGTGTCTCGCCTCAGAGATTACTATCTAAAGAAGTGATCTGCATAGTTTTTCCGAACATTTCTTAAAATGCATAGCTTTAATTTACAAAGAAAAACAAAACTTCCACTCTTTTGAGGTCTTCCCAGATCCTGCATTCGGGGGTTATGTGCCCTTTTAAAAAGTATATGTTGCATTCTGCTTTCTCAAAAATTAAGCGAATAAAAAACACACCTTCCTCTTTCCCCCCATTCTAAGTTTTCGTTATTTGATGGCATAAATTCTGTAAAATTTGCAATTTATTAACTCTAAAGAAACACAAACTGAGCGGTCGGAAGAGTCCCTTCAGCCTTGCAACAGGGCGGGTTCTAGAGCGGACCAATCACAAAGCAGCTCTGCTCTATAAATAAACAGCGGCTGACCTACTTGAGCTCACTTTTTGTGTTTGGAGATTTTTTTTTTAGTTGGTTCTCTCGGCGATCATGTCTGAAACGGCGCCTGCTGTTGCCGTTACGGCCGCGGCTCCGGCCGTAGCTTCGAAAGCTCCCGCTAAGAAGGCGAAGAAAGCGGGAGCGGCGAAAGCGCGCAAGGCGTCGGGTCCCAGCGTCACCGAGCTGATCACCAAGGCGGTGGCCGCTTCCAAGGAGCGCAAAGGGGTGTCCCTGGCCGCCCTGAAGAAGGCCCTGGCCGCCGGCGGCTACGATGTGGAGAAGAACAACAGCCGCATCAAGCTGGGCCTGAAGAGCCTGGTGAGCAAAGGCACCCTGGTGCACACGAAGGGAATCGGCGCTTCCGGCTCCTTCAAACTCGGCAAGAAATCAGGCGAAGGGAAGGAGAAGGCGCCCAAGAAGAAGGCGCCCAAGGCTAAGAAGCCAGTTGCCAAGAAGCCCGCGAGTGGCGTCAAGAAGCCCAAGAAGGCAGGGGCGGCAGCGGCGGCGGCCAAGAAGAGTCCGAAAAAACCTAAAAAGCCCGCGGCGGCTAAGAAGGCCGCGAAGAGTCCCAAGAAGGCCAAGCTGGTTAAGCCCAAGAAAGTCGCCAAAAGCCCGGCCAAAGCGAAAGCTGTGAAGCCGAAGACGGCCAAGCCCAAGACCAAGCCTAAAGCGGCCAAAGCGAAGAAGGCGGCGCCCAAGAAGAAGTAAACCAGCGGAGTTGGCCCGTGGTTGCTTTTCCAAAAACCCAAAGGCTCTTTTAAGAGCCACCCACAGAATCCAGAAGAGAGCTGTCGTCCGCCCAGTAAAACTGTCCGAATGCTTTCATGCCCTGAAACAAAGTAACAGCGCAGTAAGGCTTGCGGGGGATCCTGGCCACTAGACGTAGGCATTATCCTCTAGCGTTTAAGGCTCTTGAGCAGCTATGATTGAGCTTCGAGGCAAGTATATTTAAGAATGGAGCTCTACGCGCACTAAAGCCAGACGAATCATTGCTTCTGCAAAGGGGGGGGGGACGGGGGGTAGCAGGTTTCCACCTCTGTATCTGGTGTTAGTAAGAAAAGTAACTGGGCAATAAATGCCACTGAGTTTAAGTGGGTACTTCCTCATTAATAAGCGTGCGGGGCATCGACCTGTCACTTGATAAAGTAGTAGTTTCCCGCTTACGATAGTCCCATTTAGGGGACATTAGTTGCTCACGGGAAAGGGCGTTTATACCGAAAGTTTGCTTTTTCTAAGAGCCACATGTCCTCCGAAATGTATTGTTGCTGATACAAGAACCCTTCCCCGTTTGCTTCGAATTCCTAAACGCTTAAATGGACTGTCAATAAACGTGAATCATTTTTTAATTTAAAAAACATAAAAGGTGCTTGTTTCACGGATCGGGACGGAAAAGACGCGGCATAACTTTAAAAATGCTTGTGAATCAAGGTTTGGTTCGCTCAGGTTGAATTGCAGGTCTTTCTTTCCTATCAAAGGAGATGAGCTGATGATAGGTTCACACTAAGACATCGTGTAAGCAGCCAATAGCCACTCGATGTCAGGCAGTCCAATCGGTTGTAACGCTTTGCTCTATTATCCAATACAAAACGAGAACCAGAACCCTGTTATTTGCATTAAAGCCAGTATAAAACAAAGCAGCGCTTGCTAGTTTATTATGGGAGATATCTTAGGCTGCGGCTAAGCAGGTTGGTGGTGGCTTCTTTACACGTCCCCGCCTCTCCTCCCCCCCCCCCCCCCGCTTTGCCTACGGGAAAGAATGGGAAAAGATTATTAACGAGATTGGAAACGAGTTACTCTGTCAGCGAATATAAAGTTTCGAAACCATCGTCAGCGGAGCGGGGAAAGTCACTCGTTTAGCTTATTCCGACCAATGTCCCTTTCTGAGTCAAAAGTGCTAATGTTTGCTGTTGTGTCCCTGTATCTGAGGGCACAAAATTACTAAAAATAAAAGGCTTTTCAAGAAATCTCAATTAAATGATTTCATATTCCTAATCGCATCGTGTCATCGCTAAATTTTCCACTGTGTACGAGTTGAGAACTTGTTTTTGTCTTTAATGTGGCATTTTCTTCTGTTTTTTAAATACTAAACTGGAGGTTGAACACTTCGGATTTAAGGAGTTTTAGTTTTATAATTGAAATGAAACTGCATCTTTTTAGCATATTTTAGTTTATTAATATTTAATTAATGTTTATTCTGTTTTTACTGTAAACCGCCCAGAGTCACTCTGTAGTGAAATGGGGTGTGTGTGACAAATTTGAAATATAAATAAATAAAATCTTAACAAATGCACATGCATAAGTGGAATTGGAGGCCATTGCACATAACTGAATATAAGGTACTTTCTACCAGCAACAATTAGAATATTTGAAAAAACCCGCCTTGGTAATAATTGGTCGAATCTATCAGGTTCCTCAACGCTTTTTAGTCAAAAGCTGCAAACAAACTGAAGAGGAAAGTCTTTAGATTTTACCTTCCGGCTTTTTAAAAATAATACTTGGAGAAAGCGTAAATGCCAATTTCTGAACGGTTTATTACACAAATGATTACATATATAATAAAAATATTGTCTAAAGACTTACTGATATTACTTTCACTGTAGCCGGCGAACACGGTTACCCCTCTGAAAGTTTTGTATAACAAGTATTAGATTCTCCTACCTGTTTTTTGTTTCTAACAATATAATTTGTGAGAAAGCATTTGCTACACTAATAAAATTATGATAGTCGTCAGAAAACTCGTAGATAAACCAGCGTCTTAAAGTATCAGAGATCCCAACCTGAGTGTAACTGAGACGCTCGGTATTTTTTTTTTAAAGCTTTGAAAATTAAATACATGTAACAAAAAAGCTAAGCCAATAAAAGCGGCAGTTCTGTATTAAATTATTGCGCCCATCTTTAAATTATCCAATGAGGCTTTGGTTTCCTAGCTTCAGCCAATCAAAAATACCAATTCCTCCAATGGGAAGAGGCTTTTTCTTTAGCATCAGCCAATCAAAAGTGCAAGGCGGTGTATAAATACTGTCGCGCGAATTTAATCTTCAGTTCCTTTTTTTCCCTTCTGTTGGGGAGATGGCCCGGACGAAGCAGACGGCGCGTAAGTCGACCGGCGGCAAAGCGCCGCGCAAGCAGCTGGCGACCAAGGCGGCCCGCAAGAGCGCC